CCCGCCTTGGGTCTAAGTGATGGAGTGGCAGATACTATTGCAGGAGCAGGGCCAGCAACGAAAGGCTTTTGCTGTGGAGAGCTAGGGGGCAGCAGGTGTTCCTGTGTGTTCTGCCAGGCCAGAAAGGAGCTGCATGGGGCTGCAATGCTGTCCCCCTCCCAGGGTCCCTTTTTCACCAGAAGCTTGGATTGCATTCAAAGGCAAGTCAGCCTGGAGCCCTTCTACTTACTGCAAAACATGACAGGGAAGAGAAAGGTAGCAGCTGAGAAATATGTTGAGTGGGAGCTTGTAAACTGTTTAGCACCCTCCATTCCCATCAGCTACAGTGAGGGCCATGACTATTTCCAGAGTCACTGACACAGTGATGCCTGCCTGAGTCTGCAAAACTGTGACTGGCTTAGGAGTCATGACATCATCAGATGACCTTATTGCAGCCTGGAGGGCTGAAAGCCGGATGGAGTAGAGTGCAGGTCCGTCACTGGCTCATGTGGCTGAGAGGGCAGGCACAGTGTGAGCCAGAGGGAAATGCCTACCTTGTATCCAGGGGCCTAAAGTGACTGGCTTGATGTCTCCCAAGCCTGGTGGATCAGGATGGAGACAGGACTGAGCTGGGAAGCAAGGGGGTGGATTGTGTAACACAATCCCATGCTGACCTGAGTAATGCAGGGATTCAATTCCAGGCTTTCTGCTCCTAGTGCTGTGCACCGGCTGTAAGGAGAGAGTGCCCCTTTTCAAGCTCCCATTTCCCCCCCAAAAGCAACCTGGGTTGTCTTCCACACAAGACCTGACCTAGCCAGGCCTGTGCTCTGTCCCTGTCCCAGGGGAGCTGTGGGAATGTAGGGCTGTCCATTGCTATGGGGGCATGTGTTTCCTTCTTCAGGGCTGACTGGCTGCTGGGCATATTTACAAGACTCATGTACTGGCTCAGCTGTGGGAGTAAGAGCGGGAAGGGGGGTTTAGCTAGGCCCAAGGTAGTGACAGGCGGTTGTCATAATTGTCACATGGGCTATCTGTGGCACTGACTCTAGAGTCTATCAGAGTGCACCCTATCTTGGTCTCAGGTCCCTAGTTGTGTCTTGGGGTGGAATCAGATAATTTCCTTACTCTCAGACTGGGTACTAGGTTGCGGTCTGTTGTGTAGCCATCATAATTGCTTCAGGAGGGCTGAGTTGAACTTGGACCCTACAGTTCTGTTCCTGCTGGGGCAAGGACAGCAATGCAAAGGATTGTTTATTTGGAACATACGCACTTCAGAGAAAGTGCATCTTAAAAACAGGCTGCGTGCGTGGCTGCTTACAGAATGCCTAATTATGTTCCTGGGGCACCCCTGGACAGACTCATTCCTTATGGAATCCTCCACGCTCAGTGTCACCTTGTCTCCCCCACTCTGATGTTACTGACACTTCCTGACACTCCCCCCCACTCCCGTCTTGTGTGATTCAGGACACTGATTCGCAGGGCCCTTTGATCTGTGATTGCTCATGGGCAGGCTAAAGAGTTTTGAAGAGTTTGAAGCCATGGTTCACTCTTCTTTGCTTGAAGGCACATACCCATAACAGGGCAATTCAGTCTGTAGTCTAGGGCTATGTCTATGCTGTAGCCTTCTTCTGGAAAAGCTTATGCAAATGAAGCGTGGAGTGAACTATTGCTGCATTCCATTTGCATAATTAATTAGCAGCCATTTTTGCACAAGAGGCTTTTGCGCAAGAAGCTGTGTGGATGGCTCCTTTTTTGTGCAAAAACCCCTCTTGCGCAAGAGCCGTTCTTCCTGAAAAAATGACTGCAACATGTCTTCTCAACAACACTGCCTATAGGGAGGACACGAAGCCTGTCCTCCACGCTCTACACTGGTTTTCCATAGAATTTCAAATCAAGTTCAAACTCTCAGTCCTTATCTTCAAATGGCTCCATGGCCTGAGCCCAGGATACCTAGAAAACCATCTAAAGCTCTGGGATGAAGACCATGGAACAAAGGACCATCACAAACACCATCACCATCACCATGCTGCAATAGTATGGTGATGGGAATAGATGGTGCCATAGCAGATGGCCCCTCCTTCGGGGGAACAGCAGTAAGTGCAACTATCAAGCGCTTCCAAGCCAGGCCCTGTGTGCATACTGCTACTCGCCAGTACTGAGGGTACTGCTGATCATTTATGACTGAGTACACCTCTGGCCTCTCCCTTGCGGAGGGATGTGTGTGAGGAGGGAGCTCTCCCTCCTGCCACCCCATGCACTAAGGAGTCTGTCTTCAGGAGCTGCTCAGTTGACCCTTCAGTGGGGTCACTGGGCATTATAAGCGCAGTAGCAGCACACTCTGAGGGTAAGTCTACACAGCAGCATTATTTCAGAATAACGGATGTTATGCTGAAATAACAAAATGTGCATCTACACTACAAGCTTTTGTTCTGAAATAATGTCGAGCTGGAGGATTTCTTACTCTGACTCATGGTAACCCTTATTTCATGAGGAGTAAGGGAAATTGGAGGAAGAATGTTCTTCCTTCGACGTCCTGCTGTGTAGATAGTGACAAAAGCTGAAATAAGCTATTTCGACTTCCACTACGCAATTGACATAGCTGAAGTTGCGCAGCTTAATTTGACTTTAGCTCTGCTGTGTAGATGTACCCTGAGAGACAGGCGGCAGGGATTCTCCTTTCACACCTCCTTCCAGTGAAGTCTCTAAACTCTAAAGTGAAGTTAATGGGTAGCAGGTTTAAAACTAATAAAAAAAAGGTTTTAACACAGCCGTGTAGTCAACCTGTGGAAGTCCTTGCCAGAGGAGGCTGTGAAGGCTAGGACTATAACAGAGTTTAAAGAGAAGCTAGATAATTTCATGGAGGTTAGGTCCATAAAAGGCTATTAGCCAAGGGATAGAAATGGTGTCCCTGGCCTCTGTTTGTCAGAGTCTGGAGAGGGATGGCAGGAGACAAATCACTTGATCATTGTCTTCGGTCCACCCTCTCTGGGGCACCTGGTGCTGGCCACTGTCTGCAGACAGGCTACTGGGCTAGATGGACCTTTGGTCTGACCCAGTACGGCCGTTCTTATGTTCTTATGTCAGCTCTCCCCTCTCCCACCCCACACTGAACATCTCACAGCTTCACTGTGTGTCCCTTTGCTAGGAGCATATCAAAATGTGCAGCCAGCAAGCAACAGTCTGCTGGTTACAATGGGGTGTGGGCTGGTAGACAGGACTCCTGGCTTTAGTATCTCCGGCTCCGGCAGGACATTGGGGTCTAATGGCCAGGGCTGGGGGATCGAGAACTAGCGCTCCAGGTTCTAACTGCTACTGGCCTGGTCCGTGGCAGATTGTTTCCCATCTGCCTGAGGTAATGCATCTGCACGGCGAGGGTTACTGCTGTGTAAGGTGCCTCAGGAACTGCTAAGGACTTGGCTAAGCCACACAGACCCTTTGGGGGACAGGAGCAATCTAACCTGGCTGTCAGAGGATTAACTAGGAGCCTTGGCTGTCTGGGGCTGTGACCTGCCAAGGCGAGGCAGGAGCTGAAGGCCCCAACCGAGGCTGCTTCCAGTGCCAAGCCATTGGCTAAAGAGGCACATGTCAGGGCTTGGATACGGCTGGCAGAGGCCAGGCTGTAACGGGAGCTCTCTGTCCTTTCCCTTCCTTTCGTCACCAAGGGAGAAGAGATGAGCTTACAGCATGTGGTGTCTGATGGCCTGCCCTGGAGCCATGAAGGGGCTGGCAGGACAGGGTGGGCAGTGCAGGGACAAGCTGGCTTTCATTATTTCTATGCAACTCACATAATAGGTTGTCAAGGTTCAGCCTCAGCAGCATTTTCCAAGTCACCCCCGACCACACCTAGAGGACTGCACCAGTAGGACCCCTTCAGTTCCCTCACAGGCCAGAATCCAAGGGGAGAAACTCCAGCATGGAGCAAAGATTTAATCTGTTCCCAAGGTCACACAGTAAATGAATGGCAGTGCTGGGGATAGACCCACACGTCCTGACTCCCAGCCCCCCATTAGAAACCACACTCTGCTCTGACTATTTGACTTTCTGTGGATTCCAGTCCTGGCCTTTCCCATTGCCTGCTCCAACATCCCTACTCTATGCCTTCTGCTCAAAGCTCAGACTCAGCATTCCTCTAACTCAACAGTTCCCAACCTTTTCCAGATGGGGACCCTTTTTGACAATTCAGGAAGACTTGGTGACCTGAGGCAATTCAAAAATGAGGGGGAGGGGGAAGCAGAGCCACCTGGGCAGACACCGGCAACCCTTTTGAAATGTAATGGTGACCCATATTTGGGTCCCGACCCATAGGTTGGGAAACCCTGCCCTAACTGCATTGTGAGAAGTAACTGTTCCTTTATGAGCCATCAACTTGAATAATCCATTCAAAATGTGCTGACAAGACTGGATATAAATTACATTCTGGGTGTTATCCCAAAAGTGAACACATTTGGAATACTGGTGTATAGTCAATTTTAAGATACAAAGCGAATACATGCATCCAAATCGGAAAATCATATTGGATGGATTGTAACTTTTCCTTACATGATATATGTTGTACAAGATTTCTTGCAATTGTAAAATAGTGGCAATATTAATCATATAACCGGTTATCTTTCAATCATACACTTTTATACCTGGCTATTGGACTTCCCTCCAGTTATGACCTAAACTTCTTCAGTTTGTCTAAAATAGAGCAATTCATTCTGTTTGGAGCTCAAATTGCCAACATTTAGCACTTACCTCACACTCTCCTCAGATCCTCCAGTGATCAGACAGGCAGGCAAGGGTCATGGGGTAGGTTACTTCTGAGTTCCCAGCTATTCAGACCCATAGCTTTGCTCTGGGTTTTGCTGCTTGAAGCACAGATGTTCTGGAACTTGTTTTCAGCCCAGGTTCCCAGGCCCGTGTCTGGGCTAGACTGCAGAAACTTCTAGTAGTTGCAGCTGCATGGATCAGGGGAGCAGGTGAAAGCCAACAAGCAGGCTAGAGTGAATATGTTTTTCTCCCTTATTTATAATATGCAGGTATCCAGTGCTCCGTGGGTGACACAGCTGAATTGCCAATTCCCTACAGTCACACCAGCCCCTTCGTATGATGGGAGGGAGGATTCAGAGAGGAAGACTTGGAACTGGAGTTGTTAGCTCAGAACAATAAGGCTTAATGAGAGCGAGAGCATTTGCAAGAAGCAACTCCCTTCAGGAATGGCAGCATCAGGTCTCTTTTCTAGCTGTTCCCTTTCCTCAAGGTTTGCATGTGATAAGGAGAAGTGGGGGGCAGGGGAG